GTAGTACACAGTAGTACTGGAACGTGTTTGTGCAAGCTTTGTAGTACACAGTAGTACTGGGAAGTGCTTTGTGCAAGCTTTGTAGTGCACAGTAGTACTGGAACGTGTTTGTGCCAGCTTTGTAGTACACAGTAGTACTGGAACGTGCTTGTGCAAGCTGTGTAGTGCACAGTAGTACTGGAACGTGTTTGTGCAAGCTTTGTAGTATACAGTAGTACTGGAACTTGTTTGTGCAAGCTTTGTAGTACACAGTAGTACTGGGAATTGCTTTGTGCAAGTTTTGTAGTACACAGTAGTACTGGAACGTGTTTGTGCAAGCTTTGTAGTACACAGTAGTACTGGAACGTGTTTGTGCAAGCTTTGTAGTACACAGTAGTACTGGGAAGTGCTTTGTGCAAGCTTTGTAGTATACAATAGTACTGGAACGTGTTTGTGCAAGCTTTGCAGTACACAGTAGTACTGGGAAGTGCTTTGTGCAAGCTTTGTAGTACACAGTAGTAGTGGGAACATTTTGAAGTAATTTGTGCAAACTTTGTGTAAAGTAAGGAGTGTGGAGTGTGGAGTGGGGAGTGTAGAGTGCGTAACGTGTAGAGTGTGGAGTTTGGAGTGTGGAGTGTAGAGTGTAAAGTATAGAGTGTAAAGTGTAGAGTGTGGAGTGTAAAGTGTGGAGTGTGGAGAGTGAAGTGGAAAGTGTAGAGTGTGGAGGAGTGCGGAGTGTGGAATTGAAAGTAAGGAGTGTGGAGTGTAAAGTGTGGCGTGTGGAGTGTAAAGTGTGGAGTGTGGAGTGAGGAGTTTGGTGTGTGTCGAGTGTAGAGTGTGGTGGAGTCTGTCGAGTCTGGAGTGTGGAGTGTGGAGTGCAGTGTGTGTGGATGGAGTGAGGAGTTTGGAGTGTAAAGTGTTGAGTGTGGAGTCAGGGGTGTAAAGTGTAAAGTGTGGAGTGCAAAGTGTAGAGTGTGGAGTGTGGAGTGTGGAGTGGAAAGTGTCGAGTGTGGAGTGTGGAGTGTAGAGTGTAAAGTGCAGAGTGTGGAGTGTAAAGTGTGGAGTGCGGAGTGCGAAGTGTAAAGTGTGGAGTGTAGAGTTTAAAGTGTCGAGTGTAAAGTGTGTGGAGTGTGGAGTGTAAAGTGTGGAGTATGGAGTGTAAAGTGTGGAGTGAGGAGTGTTGAGTGTAAAGTGTAGAGTGTAGAGTGCGGAGTGTGGAGTGGAAAGTGTCGAGTGTGGAGTGTAGAGTGTAAAATGTAGAGTGTGGAGTGTAAAGTGTTGAGCGCGGAGTCAGGAGTGCAAAGTGTGGAGTGTGGAGAGTGGAGTGTGGAGTGAGGAGTGTGGTGTGTGTGGAGTGTAGAGTGTGGTGGAGTGTGGGGTGTTGTGGTGTGTTGTGTTGTGGTGTGTTGTGGAGGAGGAGTGTGGAGTGTAAAGTGTGGAGTGTGGAGTGTGCAATGGGTAAAGTGTGGAGTGTGCAGTGTAGAGTGTGGAGTGTACAGTGTAGAGTGCGGCGTGTGGAGTGTAAAGTGTGGAGTGAGGAGTGTAAAGTGGAAAGCTTGGAGTGTTAAGTGTAAAGTGTGGAGTGTAGAGTGTGGAGTGTAAAGTGTGGAGTGTAAAGTGTGGAGTGAGGAGTGTAAAGTGCAAAGTGTAAAGTGTGGAGATTAAAGTGTAGAGTGTGGAGTGAGGAGTGTAAAGTGTGGAGTGTAAAGTGTAGAGTGTGGAGGATGGAGTGGAAAGTGTCGAGTGTAGATTGTGGAGTGTGCAGTGGGTAAAGCGTGGAGTGTGGCAGGTGGTGGTGATCTCGTTGTGCTGGAGATGTTGTTGTGCTGGCGATGTTGTTGTGCTGGTGATTTCGTTTTGCTGGTGATTTCGTTGTGCTAGTGATTTCGTTTGTGCTGGTGATTTTGTTGCGCCGGTCGACTTTGTGCAAGCTATGTGGTACACAGTAGTACTGGGAAGTAGTTTGTGCAAACTTTGTGTAAAGTGGGGAGTGTGGAGTGTGAAGTGAGGAGTAGGGAGTGTAGAGTGTGTAAAGTGTCGGGTCTGGAGTGTAGAGTGTAAAGTGTGGAGTGTGGAGTGTGCAGTGGGTCAAGTGTGGCGTGTGCAGTGTGCAGTGTAGTGTGTGGAGTGTAGAGTGTAAAGTGTAGAGTGTAAAGTGTAGAGTGTGGAGTGTGGAGTGTAAAGTGTGGAGTGTAAAGTGTGGACTGAGAAGTGTCAAGTTCAAAGTGTAAAGTGTGGAGTGTAAAGTGTGGAGTGTAAAGTGTAGAGTGTGGCGTGTGGAGTGGAAAGTGTCGAGTGTGGCGTGTGGAGTATAGAGTGTAAAGTGTAGAGTGTGGAGTGTAAAGTGTAGAGTGAGGAGTGTGCAGTGGGTAAAGTGTGGACTGTGGCAGGTGGTGGTGATCTCGTTGTGCTGGTGATGTTGTTGTGCGGGTTATGTTGTGCTGGTGATTTTGTTGTGCTGGTGATTTCGTTGTGCTAGTGATTTCGTTTGCTTTGGTGATTTTGTTGCGCTGGTGCTGTTCGCTGGTGATTTCATTCTGCTGGTGCGTTCGTTGTGCTGGTGATTTCGTTGCGCTGGTGATGTTGTTGTGCTTGTGATTTTGTTGCGCTGGTGATTTCGTTGTGCGAGTGTTTTCGTTGTGGTTTCATTGCGCTGGTGATGTTGTTGTGCTGGTTGTGATTTCGATGTGCTGGTGGTGATGTTGTTGTGCTGGTTAGTTGTCTCTTTGCGAACTGTTGCTCAGGCGCCTTCGCTGAGACGGTATGAGGGCACGATGCATGCAAAAAAAAGTTCGTTTTCCTATTGCAGAGGTTTGCATTCGTAGTCCAAGAACGTGAATACATTCGGGTTCGTGGCTTCCATCTTGTTTTTTCTTTTGCAACCTGTAGCCATGACTACCTGAGCATTTGGGAAAGTTGATCCAAATTGATCCAAAACAAAATGTTCGCCTTGTTTGCCCTCAAAATGGAGTGTTCTTGTGGGGAAACATCCCCCAGCTTTTGTCTTGAACCCGCTTGATGCCGATTGCTCAGTAGCAACAGCCCACTGGGGCAAATGAACAGCGTCTGGAATAACGTGCGGAGCTTGAGTAGATATTGCATCATACAGCATTTTGAAGATGCAGACAAAGATTTGGGGAGTTGCATGCACGTGCTGCGTAATACTTTGTGTGGCTTCATTCATAAGCTTGAATTGAGCATATCTATGGCTACACCGTCCTGTTTTATTTGCTTTTGCTCCAGGCTTTGCTTTATAATCCTTAATAATATATAATTTAATTATATATAGATATATAGATATATACATTTATTTATTTATATGGAACACCTATTGAGGCAATGCTGTTCGGTGTGAGAAGTTCCAATCCTTCAAGAACGCAAGATCACCGCGGAGCCCAGACATCAACTTTTTTTGACATGGTCGCTGGGTTCTAGATGCCCTGAATGTTCAGATCAATGTAGCGGCCCGCTTCCCAACCCTGGTACATCTGGGGAACTTTGCAAGTCCGTGTGCTCATCTCACCAATTTCCTTGGAGTGGATTTGGCATGATCTCTAATTTTCAGCGAGCTCCTTGGTGAAAACAGATTGCTCGACCTGGAGGCGCATCAGAGGTTTCAGTGA